TATCACGATTTCATGTATATAAATCATTTGACCTTAAGTTATAAGTTCCATGAGGCATTTTAATACTTTAAACGGTGCTTGTTTAACATAGATATTTATGTAATTAACATTAATCTTACATCGGACGTAATAACGTTTAAAAGATGGGTGGATAGTTACTTATGACTGTTTAAACATCGCTTGTTATTTAAGCATTTAAATCGATATTTTAACACAAGTGATTCATACAATGAAATGCCACACTTGAATGAAATTTTAAGTGCGCATATGTTTTCAGTTTTCTTTGTTTTATATACATGTATTAAGCGCGCATATTTCATTTAAATACCAAGTGGTTATTTTCAGGAATAAGATAGGAAATTATCACTAGTTCATCTGTAGATTTAAGCATTCGATAACCTTATTTTTGAGCAGTAAATACCTACCTTTCATGATATTGTATAAACAATAGTCGGGTTTGTTTATTAATAGAGGAGTGTTAAGGAAATGGTTTACGAATTTTTGTAGGATATTTAATATGCATTTAGATACTGGCAAAAAAGCGAATCATTATTTTGAGAGAAAATCGTGTATCTTAAACTAATAATTCAATATGTATTCTTATAATATGTTTGAATTGCGGATAAAATTCCTTAATAACTTTAACGTTTTATATTCAAATTGTTTTTAGAAAAACACCATTGTACGGAAGCGTCCTGGTGCCAATTCATAATGTTCTATAAAAAAAATAAACTCCTACGTAGGAGATAAAAAAGCCTAATTAGGAGTTTGTAACTCCTACGTAGGACTTTTAAACTCCTACGTAGGACTTTGTAAGTCCTACGTAGGACTTTATAACTCCTACGTAGGACTTTATAACTCCTACGTAGGACTTTTAAACTCCTACGTAGGACTTTATAACTCCTACGTAGGAGATAAAAAACCTAATTAGGAGTTTGTAACTCCTACGTAGGACTTTTTAAGTCCTACGTAGGACTTTTAAACTCCTACGTAGGACTTTATAAGTCCTACGTAGGAGATAAAAAAGCCTAATTAGGAGTTTATAACTCCTACGTAGGACTTTTAAACTCCTACGTAGGACTTTTAAACTCCTACGTAGGACTTTATAACTCCTACGTAGGAGATAAAAAAGCCTAATTAGGAGTTTGTAACTCCTACGTAGGACTTTTTAAGTCCTACGTAGGACTTTTTAAGTCCTACGTAGGACTTTTAAACTCCTACGTAGGACTTTATAACTCCTACGTAGGAGATAAAAAAGCCTAATTAGGAGTTTATAACTCCTACGTAGGACTTTTAAACTCCTACGTAGGACTTTTAAACTCCTACGTAGGACTTTATAAGTCCTCCGTAGGACTTTTAAACTCCTACATAGGAAATAGGATTACAACATTGGTGATCGCACCGAGTAGTGCCCCTTATTTTATAAAACACCATTTGCTGTCGTGATGGATTCTAGCGTGGAAGTGCCTGTTGACATGTTTACATTTCTAGAGGGGCGTGATGTTGCTAGTCACCTAATAGATAAAATGAGAGACGACAAGGTATGAAATGAGGAATAAATTCCAAAACTATGCTATATTTTTTAAAAAAAAAAGGAACTTTGGGGAAAAATTTACGGGTTCTGCCCTAAAAAGGGCCAATTTTCCCGAATTTCATTTTGCCAAAAATATTTTTATTCGGTTTAAATTCCCTCCCATTCTGTAAATATATTTCTATCAAACGTTAATTTATTTTAGCTCAGCAAAACGAATGTAAATATATTTCTATCAAACGTTAATTTAATTTAAGCTAAAAAAACCGAAGCTGTCCAGCATACCCGTAGTCCGTTAGTCAAGATTTCAGCCAATTCAGGTCAATTTTTTGTGCAGTTGTCTAAAATATTTTAAGTACAGTGTTACGAATGTATTTTGTTTATTTCTTAAGTTAATAACTTAAAACTTAAAATATTTGTTCATTATCATCCACCGCACCTTATAAATATAAGACCACAGGGGGCCCACACAGTGTTTGGATGGTATATACTGCTTGATAGTGACCTTAAAATGAGATTTTAGTCATAACCTTATAATATGTATATAAATAGTCTATATTTTAATTTATATACATATTATAAGGTTATGACTAAAATCTCATTTTAAGGTCACTATCAAGCAGTATACCATCCAAACACTGTGTGGGCCCCCTGTGTTTAAGAACAATGTTCATAAATCTAAATGCAACAAAAGCCCTGGGATCAAAATTGACACCGCCCCTGGGGGTACTCTATTAAGTAAAAACTTAAAAAAAAATTCTTTTAAATAACCTATAGAGCTAGAGCTTAGATATTTAGAATGCACTCACTCCGGGGCTTATCTCACAAGAATTGGAAGCAGCCAAGCCCTTAATTTTTGGGTAAAATTACACGGTGTATTTGCAAAAGGGGAAGAAAAAACTTGATGTAAATTATTGTGCGGAAAATGATTTTAACGAAATTTTCTTTAGGGAAGCAGCCCTATACCGGCCCCTGTAATAGAAGGGAAAAAGGCCCTGGAATGAAACATCATCTAGTGAGTGTCTACCAAATTTGTTCAAATAAAACCCCCAGGGTTAAATTGGCCCCGCCCCGGGGGTCTGATTTTCCTGATATGTCTATAGTAAAAACTTAAAAATCTTCTTTTTAAAACCCGAAAGAGCTAGAGCTTAGATATTTACTATATATACAGGTGAGCGATTTCAGTGCCATCATGGCCCTCTTGTTTATTTATTCTTTTTCTACACTTAACTTTACTTAATGGACTTATTTCATTTTTATATATATCTGCTATAGCATATATAATAAGTTACAAATCAAATTCAATTCAGCAATTCAAAAAATGTCTTCAACTTCTGTCTCGCGCTCAGTCAGGCCAGTGGCGACTTCGTCCCCGGTGCCAAGTGAGTACCTCAATAGGTGATTACCACGGAGAAATGTATGGCAAGATTTTCACCAAGGGACTATCAAAAGCTAATCCCTATCTTCAACCACACAGTGTTGTGGTGATAGACATCGCACCTTATCGCACCATTTGCAATGACAAGTGTCCAATGTAGTCAAGTTAATTACAAAAAGTGTGATGACGTCCTTGTTACAGCACCATAAGTTAACATACACCAAACATGCTCAAGTCTCGTGTGCTCACAATAAAAAAGATGATTTTTGTTGCAAGAGATTATGTCATGTGTAGCACAAAATCTCAACTGAATTTTAAATATGAGAAGTGTAATTTATATACATGTCAGACACAAACACGAAGTACCCTTGCATTGAAAAAAATTAATTTGATAGAAATGGAACTGTTGGGATTTGAACTCGCACCAGTCACATTAAAATAACACTCCCTACCACTACACTACAACGTCTCTCTGCAAGTACTATGGTCAATAAGTATATAACTATACTATGATATCCATACACAAGTAACCTACCTTTTCTGATCCATGTTATATTTACAATGGTTCCAAAATAAATAAACTGAATACAGGTAAATTGTGAAATGTGTAATGATTGAAAGAGGGTTGTGTTTATGAGTTTGTTTTGGAAATGTGATAATTAATTGATAGAAAAGTGGACAAGAATTGGATATAATTATATTCCCCCACCACTAGGGTGCATCAAAGTTAATTATAGCATAAAATCGGCTATTATTCCCTCTTTTGCCCATGTTATAACGGGACCAAAACCATGTGTTAACATAGTCACGCGCTCTTGTTATAGCCCGGTTTCACCTATGCGCAATACATACAGGGCCCAGTAAACAAACAAACAAACAAAAAATGACGATTTGGACTGTTTGCCAAAGAGTCATGCGCTCTTGTTATATTAAAATTTATTGATAAGTAACTATGCCGGAAAAACGGCGTATAGACATCGGTGCTAATCTTGGTTGTCGGCCCTTTCTAAGAAAACGGACAGTTGTCAATGTAAACAAATACAGTAGAATCTTAACTGTCATTCAGTTTAACACTCCGAATTAACTTACAAAACTATTAGATAACACAAAATTTTTAATACGAAAAATGTTTTTATTTTATGTTAATGTTGATAAATGCTCTTTTATATTTCTTTTGAGAGAATAATGCTTAGTGCCTGATTTTTTATAAACTTGTTTGCTTGAAACAAAAACAGATTCTGAATGTCACTGATCCTTTTTAAATTTCTACCGTCAATCTGAAATCATTCTAAGAATTTCTGAGGGTCATGTTTTGTCTTGGGTAGAGGGTTAGAGTAATGTTAACGTTTTTTTTCTTGAGATAATAATTTAATCTCCAAAGGCCAAGCTTTGTTAAATCAATTAAAAATTCAAAAATTTCGTTCGGTTCCGAGAATTTTCCAAGTTGTTGGCCCCGGAAAAATGAAAACGCATACGTAAAACATAGGAATTGGATAAATACCGTCCAAGCACAAGAATTTAATGTAATTGTGTTTTGTATAAACTATACATCACGAATCTGTTTGAAAATTTTATGCTATAATAGCGTCAACGCACGTTTATTTCGTGTTATAAAGTCTGCAGAGTCCCTCGGAACTGTTGGAGCCCTCGCCCTACCGGGCTCGGGCACCAACCGTTCCTCGGGACTCTGCAGACGTTATAACACGGAAAAACGTGCGTTAACCCTATATAGACAATTGAAAGGTATGAAGTACATGATATGTATTTGAATTTGTTAATTTGAAATTGTATAATTTGTGATTAACTGTAAATTGACCGAAAATAAATTGAGCTGTGTCATGACAAAACCAACATAGTGCGTTTGCGACCAGCATGGATCCAGACCAGCCTGCGCATCCACGCAGTCTGATCAGGATCCATGCTGTTCGCTTTCAGTTTCTCTACTTGTAATAGAGTTGGTAAGCGAACAGCATGGATTCTGATCAGACTGCGCGGATGCGCAGGCTGGTCTGGATCCATGCTGGTCGCAAACACACTATGTTGGTTTTGTCATGACACGGCTCAATTACTGTGTTACAGGAAATGCACTGATTGAATCTTCTCATTGTGTCCAGGCTGTAAAAATGCGTCACAAAACGCAAAAACACACTCTGGAAGGATTGATTTCATATTTCAAATTGTTGTCTTTTCCATTGTAGAGCATAAAAAATATCTGAAAATGTCAATGATGACATGTAGATATGCTGCAAATAAATGAGCTTTTGATTAGTTTTCTTATTAAAGAAATTTGTTTGTATCTGATTATTCATTTTAGACCCTTGCATCTTTTCTTAACCATTATCTATTTTATATATATTTCATTTGGGTGACTAACTTATTTCAGATTGATGTGGAAACTGTTCAAAGTATTACTGATGAAGTTTTGGCTACTTATATCCCAAAACTTGGTGACAGAGTTGCGTTAAAAAATTACCTGTCGAAACCACAAAAAAAAAAAACGAAACGTACTCATTTATTTGAGAAGCTTCGAAACAAAATTGCCGAAAATGATGGAAAAAATAACAAAGAAGAATTACAAGTTAAAAGGAAATTGATGGGAAAAGCAGAAAGGAAACCGACTCGCAAAATTGAGTTTGGATGGATACATGATAGTATTCAAGTGAGGAAACGATTTGGAGGGGGAACAAGAAAGGAGGATGTTAGTAGAAATGCAGTGAAAGAAGATTTAATAGAGGTGGGAAAAAGGTTATTTTTTCCTGATGGAATGTCAAAAAAAGGAGCTGTGGATGAATTTAAATTTGATATTCTGGATTTCAAAGAAACAAAGTTACCTGAGAATATTACTGTGTCAGAGTGCTATGATCTTTTTAAAACAGGGGTTGTAACATTTTACTTGCACACAACACGAAAAGATAGTTCTGTGTCAGCTCCAAGCAGCACAGTAACATATCAGCAGGCTAATAACAGTACATATTCTAATACACACAATCAAATAGCAACAACATCTTCTGGTCCTGTCAATGAAAGTCTGCCTATCCCAAAGGACATTTTAAAGTTTGCCATCGACCAGTCTTTGATGAGTGCTGAAGAAATTAACTACAACTTAGAGTTTAACTTTGCCGGTCAAAGTGTCTCACCAGAGTCAGAGTCACAGGTATCTTTTTCTTATAAGAAAGTTATATTTTGACTCTTCAGGTTAATTTAGAGAGAAAAAAAATCAGAAAATAAAACAGGATTCTTTACTTTGTTTTCTTGGTCTAGAAAATCTGCTTTACTTCTCTTATGTTACTTAAAAGTAACATGTTTTTTTTTTGAATGGACTGTTTTTGTAAGATAATGTTGTTTTGGCCTCAGAATCATTGTTGCAAACACTACCTTATTAGAAAAAAGTGCTTTATGAATATATTAGTTTTTTGGTACTTTCTTTCTAAAATACGTTTAATACATATATATATGATGCGCAAGAAAAAGACAGGTCTGCCAGACTGGTCTTTTTAAAGAAGTCATTTATTAGTTTGTTATGTATACTTCCTTTCATATAGTTTATCATGTTAATGGAACTGATAAAATGAACTCAAGCTTAGGGCTGTCATTGATGAGGTTTTAGAATTCATAATGATATGGATATATGGATGATATAAAGATGAATTATTGAACTTAAAACAAATGACATGTGTCTTTTCAGGACTTAAATATGGATGAAAATTACACAGAAATTGACACAGGAACTCCAACTGTAAGTATGAACGTGTCACCTGTTGCTTTATGAGGCCAATCTAGGGCCAGTCTATGAGATACAATGTAGCAGACTGTAATCAAATTTAAAATAAGAAAAAAATCATTTTGTAGTTGTATACATTTTCTCAAATTTATATGTACATGTGTACATAGCATTATAATTTATGTGTAGGTAATGTGAAGAATTGTTCACAATTATTTTTTTCACAATTAGCGCTCATTGATTTTTTCTTATTTGTATATGGTAAAAACTTAAAAAATCTTTTAAAAATCCAAAAGAGCTAGAGCTAAGATATTTAGCATGAAACATCTTCTAATGGTGTCTACCAAGTTTGTTCAAATAAAAGCCTGGGAAAAAAATTTGCCAGGGGTCATTGTTTTTCCCTACATGTATACAGTTAAAACTTTAGAAAAGTTTTTTTAAAAACCCTAAAGAGCTAGAGCTAAGATATTTATCATGAAGCATTTTCTAAAGGGTGTCTACTAAGTTTATTAGTTTATTCAAATAAAAACCCCTGGTTTATAATTTACCTTGGCCCAGGGGCCTATATACAGGTGAGCTATTTCAAGAGGGCTCAGCATGGCCCTCTTGTGTTTATTGCTGAAGAATAATACTTCAAACTTGGCCACAAGAATTATTTGGACACAATCTTTCAATTTAAATATGTGTCTGTGTTTTTGACCTCTAAATGGCATTCACCTAGATTTTATGCTCCAAAAGCTATAAAATTGCCCAAATTTAACTTATTTCTGAAAGGAATTACTTCAAACTTGGCCACAGCAACCACATACACAAGGTTTTTCCAACATCTTAAGTTTCTGTGACCTTGACTCTAAATAGTCTTGACCTTTCAGGTTTATTTGACCAAAAACTAGAAAATTGGCCATAATTAGACACAGTGATCTTCTAGACAAGACTTTTCAAACTATATTTCTATGATTTGAATCTGAATTACATTGACCTTTCAGGTTTTTGTCCAAAAACATTGGTCATAAATTCATTATTACTAAATGGAGTTCCTTCATATTTGGCCATATCAACCCTTTTGACTTGTTTATAAACTTTTTCATTATGACAAATTCTCCATGAATTTTACCCCTGAATGATTGTGACCATAAGGATTTTCTTACATGAAACATTAAGACATCAATTATAAACTAATAATGTAAATAGTCAGTTTAACATTTAGGATTCTCTCTGTGTCTATTCATCTGTCCACAAGTACCTGAGCCTAAAAAGAAATTTAAAATATTTTTGTTAAAACTTAAAATATGGATAGATGGCAATATGGAGATTTAACACACCATTTCATTTTTTTTAAAAACAAAATCATTATATCTTTTATAACACCAATAAAACTGATCTTTTGGTTATCTATTGTATACATATAATTTCCCTGAAAGCAAGGGAAAGTTAACACATTAGGTTGATAGCAAATCCTAAAGATTTACTATAGTACTCAAAAGTTAATTAATATTTTACCGCCTCCGTGGTCGAGGGGTTAGAGTCTATGACTTCTAATCCAGTTACCTCTCTGGCGTGGGTTCGATCACTTCTAATCCAGTTACCTCTCTGGCGTGGGTTCGATCCCCTGGAGATGCTTTGGTAGTTTAGCGCGGAGGAAGGGAGTCTAGTACTGGTGTAACTCTCCAGGAACGATGGTTAGGAAACTACCCGCCTATATGACTGAAATACTCTTGGGAAAAGGCGTAAAATGAAACAAACAAACAATCAAACAAATTAATATTTTCCATAATGGCATGATTGAAAGCCCATGTCCCTATAGAAAGTTGCATACATAATTTTTGTGCAGTTCTAACTGTTGGAGCTTTTTGCATTGCTTGCAATTCATTGATAATTGCTTGTTGAGATCTGATCATTTGAGTTGCAAAATAATTATTGTGGCATATAACTAATAACTATATGCCTGTTAGTTAATAAAATTGTTGACATTTTTCCAGGTTTCATTCAGGCAACCAATTGTGCAAATAGCTTCCAACCAGTCTACTGATCAAGCTGAATCCATCCAATGCCAGGCTGACACAAATATATCTCAACCAAGTGAAGATGAAAACGAAATCACTTTATCAGTAAGAAATGTCATATTTCATTAATTTATGCTTCTTTTGTCCAAAAAAAAGTGGTTAAAGAAATAGACTATGTTTGCGTCTCTGTCTGTCTATCTGTCTACATTACTGAGTAGAGATAGAGGGCAACCTAACTGTAAACGGAACAAAAGAGAACAATAGAGTTCATTGCATAACAATAGAATAAGGGGCCACTTTCTAATTCGGAACCTTGGTACCCAAATCGGACAATATTTCAGGACAAATTTTGTAAAATACATTTATTTTTCACTCTATAATATAATCCGGACAATCAATAAAAAGGAAAAGGTAATAATGTTGATAAGGAGCAGTAGCTTAAAAAGTATCCCCCTTGCTTAATACAGACAGATTGTACAAATAGATAATATGTGAAAATGAATTATTTAATAAAGTAACATATTCAATTATTTTGTGTGGTAAGCAAACATCATAGAAGCATCAAACTTTACTATATATAGACTGCAATTTAAATTATTTATGTGTATAATTAATTTGAAAATTTATTAACTGAAAATAGTGCAAAATCTTTTTATATTAAGATCAAAGAAAATATTTATTCAACAATATTAATGATGATCTTTCTCCTGTGATTCATTATGTTTTTTACCCTTTCTTTTAGCTCATGCTTATACCATTGAACTGTTGAAAGGTTTATTTATCATTGGTTTTGTCATTTTATAACATAATAAAAGAGAGATACATGGAAACAAATTCAGCACTTAAAAAATGTAGTGTCTAGCCATATAATTGGAGTGGGGACATCTGTGTCCTCTGGACACATTTCTACTTGTATAAAAAATTCTCAATTGTGTAACAATATTGTATCCAAAGTTGAATACAAATGATATCTTAATATTGAGATATTCAATGACAGACTTAATTTGTGGCAGGTCCATGCCATTTTCATCTATCAAGAGATTTTAAAATAATATGGCACACATGTTCAAAATATATGCAACACCATAACCATTAAATTCTAGGCTTAACATGTCTGTTATAGGGCCTTTTCATATTTGGTCCACAAGATTTTGAAATAAAATTGCAAATATTTTTGTCATATTATTTTTTTAACATATGCCATTTGCAACACTGAGAAACACTACCAAGTTCAAGGTCACAATAAGAGGTCAAAGCTTGAGCTTTGAGAGAATCCAGTGAAACTTTTAGTATAGACTTAATTAGATAGAATAAATAGCAAGAGGTAGTGCACTTCATCTTGAATGAATTGTAAATTATCTACCTCTGGACAATAACTGCTAATAAGAATCTGAGATACAATAGTATTGACATGTAACACAGTATTTATTGCATTATATTTCTATGATAAATTTATTGTTGTTTGTCAGACCTAGTATTTATCAAGATTTTCACTAAAAGTCCAAAGTTATATGTATAAGGTAAAAATGCTTATAAGGACCATATTACTCAATAATGAATAAACTTTTTTAAGACATTTAAAGTTCATAAATAATTATAGTTGCATGACATGTAATCACCTTAATGACATTGGGATTTCTAAAATCAAAATGTCTTTTGGTCAGTAATTTTGTTACTTAGACCTGTGCTATAAAGGGAGCAATAAGAAATCATATCAATATGGACAAACTATGAAATCAAATATTTATTTGATACTATCTAATCTGTATCTTTTAAATTCCGAAATTTTGATATCATAACAGATACACGAAGACGACAGTGTGATATGTACAGATGACTTACCAACAATGCAGTTCAGAGGCAGACGTAACTTATCAAGGGTAACATTTTGAACTTTGTAAATATCATATTTTCATAAACCTAAATTTTCATTCAGTTATTAGTAAACAGGAGTACAGTTTTGGTGCACTATGTTTGGCCAGAATTGACCAACTACAATTTAGTCTTTGTGTATCATCGATTTCAACATGAGTCAGATATAAGGACTAATAAACTGTCTATTCAGTATAAAAATGTATGGAATGTTACCATGGGCTTGACATTGAATGTAAATTCAAAATGAACTTTGCCAAGTATGTTGTATTTCAACAGGTTGACAAACACAATTATAATATTATGATACTGTATACATTTAATTAATTTAAAAGCACCCAGACAAAATCATTATTTTGGCATGTGTTTTTTTTGTTCCCCTTATTCACAAAAAAAAATACATTAAAAAAAATGGGTTTTTACTCTGGAAAAATTTTAAAAAGATCCCCCTTAAAATTTTAAAAAAAAAGGGGGGGAAAAAATTTCCCCTTTAAAAAAAACCCGAGCTAAGCCCGACATTAAACACCCAAACCCTCAAAATTTTTTTTTTATTGTTTTCCCAAAGGGGAACCCAAAAAATTTAAAAAATCAGAGATAAACCAAAAAGCATGTTTTGATTTATAGCCCAAAAAAACAATTAGTAAAAGATATTGTGGAAAAGTTTTTTTTCAAGTTTAGGGGATAAAAATTTTTAGGGTCAAATGAGGGGTAGCTAAGGGGGGAGATTTTTAAAGAATCCCTTGAATTTTCCGTCGTTCCCCTCCCAAAACTTGTTTAACCCCGGGTTTAAAAAAGGGGGGCCCCTTTTTAAAAATTAGAAAATTTTTTGTTAACACTAGTGGCTACTGATCTAAATATCCTGGAAATTGGTGTGAAAGTTTGTTTTGATGATTTCTAGGTCAAGTTCAAATATGGGCCACCTGGGGTCAAAAAATAAGCCACAATGCTCAAATATGAATAATCCTTGTTAACACTCTAGTGGCCACATTTTTGACTCACCTGTCATAAAAATTGGTCAGAATGCTTGTCTAGGTAATGGTTCGGATGAGTTTGATGAGGAGAGCGATCAAGGGCCATCTTGGCCTTCTTGTTTAACAAATTTAGCTATTTTTAGCTCGACTATACGAAGTATATGGGGGAGCTTTTCCTAAATCGCCCCGGGGGTCGCGGTTTCCCCGGTTTCCCCGTCCAGAAATTTTAGAATTTAAAATTTTTGGTGAGGGGGAAAAAAATTTTTAAATTTTGGGTTTTTTTCCCTTTTTAAAAAGGGGTTCCCAAATTCAAACTTCAAAAAAATATGTTTCCCTTTTCAAACAACCACATAAAATTTTGGGCAAGGGGGTTTTTATAACTCTAGAACCCAAAATTTTCAGATTTAATTTTTTCCCCTTTTAACTTTTTTGGTTAAAAAAAATTTTTTAAATTTTTACTTCCCCAAATTTCCCTTTAAAGGGGTCAACCCATCTTCAAATATATTACCTTTCATCCCTCCCCCAAACTTATGTGACAAAAGGGTTAAAAACTAAGGGAAATAGTTTTAGGGTTTTTCCCCCTTTTTAATTAGAATTTTTCCCCAAAAAAACTATTTTTCTTACTCCTTTCTTTTTTTATTTTTTTAAAGGGTCAACCTCATACTTCAAATGTACTTACATTATCATCATCCCCATCTTATGTTCAAGGTTCATAACTCTAGCACCAATATTTTCAGATTTATCTACCCCTTTGAACTTAGAATTTTCCATAAAAAATATTTTTTTTTTCTGTCATTTATTTATTTCTAAAGGATCAACTTCACTTCAAATATGTTTACGTTATCATCATCCACATCATATGTGACAAGGTTCATAACTCTAGCACCAATATTGCAAGAATTATCTCCCCATAAACTTAGATTTTTTTTTACTAGAAAAATGTTATTTTTATTATAACTTTTTTTTATTTTTAAAGGTATCTACCTCAAATTTCAAATACTTATTCCTTATCAACAATTACATTTTATGTGACATTGTTCATAACTCTTGATGCAATATTTACAAGATTTATCTCTCTTTGAACTTAGGATTTTCTTTAAGAAATATAATAACTTCTTTTCTTTTTAAGGTATCTACTTCAAACTTCAAATATATATTTCTTATCATTACACAAATGTTGTGTGACAAGGTCCATAACTCTAGCATGACTATTTCTAGAATTATGCCCCTTGATCTTGGAATTTATGTTAACAAATATTATTTTTTTACTATAACTTAATACATAATTATACATAATTGATTTTTCTTTCATAGTTTTGTCCTCCTTACTGCGTCCAGTATTTCATTAGTCGAGCTTCGCTGTCTCCTGTGACAGCTCTTGTTTGTATTATTTTGTATGTACATGTATTAAATCATAAATCTGTTATTACCAAAATTATTACCATAATACGCATGTTAGAAAAGGTATAGCTGTAACACACCTTGTATAAAATTATGAACACATTTCTAAAGAAAAGTCCTTATATATGTATGGATATTTAAAAAAAAAAAAAGCCTTCAAACATTTTTGTTTAAAAGGCCACATACACTGGTAACAGAAACTTATCTGTCTGTGTCAAATATCTTATTGGAATGTATCATCATTATTTTCACTCAATCTTGCTCATCTATATTGCTGTTTTCTCTTATCCAACAATCAAACCACTTGAAATTTTATAATAGTGTTTTGATAGTAGTACATTATTGTCTTATGAAACTTTAACAAATTACATTAAAGCAGCACGTCTCCAGCTTCATGCTAATTTTCATGAAAAATTGAAAATGTAATTAACAGTATTATATTGTAACGTTAACAAAAAAATAAAATTTACACATTGTCAATGGCACTTACAACCTATGTAAAGTACTATAAAGAGGTCAAAATATGCACATACTATTAGCCCATACTATGTTAGTAACGCAGTAGAAATATATTTATAATTACTGAAAAATTCGGTCATTAATTGCACAAAATATGTAAATTTGTACTAGAATTTTGAATCTTTATACATTTCCTAAATTCTTAGTACATTTTTCTCAGATTTGATTTTATCGAAATATTTGTACTCATCTGGAGGCGTGCACCTTTAATTTTTTTGCATACATAACCAACTGAATTAAAATCATGCCAGAATTGCAAACTGCTCTGCTTCTTTGTTCATACTTAACCCTTTCCTTCAGGAACATATTGTGAAAATCGCCGAATGAAAAGCCTCCCGTTACAAGTTCAAACTGCTATGAACTATGAAAAATGCTTCAATACTAATGAAACTTTGCACAAATGTTGACTGGAACATGGCCTCTGTAACAGGATGCTCTATCCTTAATTTCCTGTAACATTGGCGACAGGGGGGATTTTAAATGGATTGTGATAGAGTAAAAGGTTTTTCAATGTTGGTTACACGTTACCTTACGATCAACCTGAGGCCATTTTTAGCCTGTCACATATCCAAAATTTTCTTTGCGATGAGGGGCACATCCCCCTTCTGGCAACCCCCTGATGTACCTTTTTTGGGGGGAGCGGCACCGAAAAAAGTGGTTACTTTTTTTAACAACATTTTTCAAACGAAAAACAGTGTTTGGGGTCTATATATGAGGTAAAGGGTTAATTTGACTTCATATGAAAATGATGTTTAGAAATAATTATAATGATTCCATTTAGAAAGGCAACCCTTGGATTAATGTTGATATAGATTTTATAATGTTGACACATACATTTCAATCTATTTAACCTGTAACGAGGTGACAAGATGAGCTTTTGTGCTAACAGTGCATCCTTCTGTTTCTATGTCTTTATAAAATAAATATATAGATACTTTGGGTAAACAATAGGTAACAGTAATTTCCCCTTCATGCTGTTCATTCTGTAAGATCTTTATATATTATGTGGCTACTTTTCCCCTTAATACAAAATATATTACTTTTTTTCAGAGAAGACAGTTGTCACAGGAAGGCAGACCAAGTATACTGGAGACTGTTAAACAGCAGCTGAATTTTGATGGGTGTGTAAATGGTTATATATTGAAATTTGATTTGTGAAATAAGTACATTGAGATATCAGGGACTACCTTGGACTGAAAATTTAGGGAGAAGTGACTTCTCCCTTCAGGAAAAATAGGGAGAAGTTTTGAAATTTAGGGAGAAGTGATCATCAAATCGGGTTATATCATTGGATTTTTTTTCTAATTTTATTTCACAAAATATACATGTACACCTTCCGTTTATATGTACATGCTTATAAAATATACATGTATATGGCACGAAAATAAACAAACGTGTATTTGAAAATCGTTATGATGATATTAATGATCAATAAAGTTTATTTAAGCATTTGATTTACATCAACACAACATTACATCAACATTTATGTTTTTAGGTTCAACAGTTTCTGACTCTAACTTTTAAATGCAATAAATTAAGAAGAAGTTCTTTTAATTCATAATATTTATCCAAATTATATCAATTTACATCAGTTTTAATGATGAATATTACTATCATAAATGTAATGGTGATAACAAGAATGGACCGGCAAACGTATATGGGATATTGTAAATCAAACAAAACATAATTATAGGGGAAATTGTAAATCAAACAAAACGTATAGGGGATATTGTAAATCAAACAGGACATACAGGGGAAATTGTAAATAAAACAAAACATTTAGGGAATATTGTAAATCAAACAAAACGTACAGGGGATATTGTAAATAAGACACGAATATATGTTGAGGTAACTTAATTATTAATTAGCTAGCTTTTTATCATCTGCTGCATTCATATCAGGGTCTTTCACAGCTTTATTTTACCTTATAATCAATGCACTATTTTTAGCGATGTGGATTTCCAAGTGTGAATTCCAAATGTTGCTTTTGGCCACGCTTCAACGCGTGTGCTAATTACGTCAGATTACACAATTAAGTCAATAATTGATTGTTGATCTTTATTGTCTTACTGTGCTGTATATAATTTGACTTTAGGATACTATATTTTACAATACAGAGAGAAGCAGCCAACTTGTCAAGAGATTGTTCATGCATGGACAGTGAACACAACTATAGATGGAGACTCTGTAGTAGTAATTCATAGGCAGCGAATAATAGAATCTACAAAACGTGCCATGAATCGCAATGAATTTAGTTATTACAAGAAGCCAAAAATAGTCTTTTCAGGGGAAATGGGGGAAGACTTAGGGGGCCCAAGAAGAGAATATTTTAGGTGAGAATTTTATTAGCCACATTTATAAGATATTGTGATATAGTTTTTGCCAGTTTTAAGTAACAGATATGTGAGTAAACAGTAATATAGTTTTTTTCCTGTAACATTCAGATTAACCTGTATATATGCATTTTTTTCTTGATGTGTAGCCATGCCACTAGTTTCTTGAACCAAGATTAATTGTCACATGTCAATCATCATTTTGATATAAAGAAAAGCTTCAGAACAAGGAATAGGAAGCACTGCTTTGCTTCAGGTAAATCTAAATTGTATAGTTCAATAAATAAGTGTACAAGAAAATGTGTGTTTAAAAAAGAATAATTGTGATTTCCTACTTCTTTCAGATTACTAATGCAGGCTGTTATGATGGATGTCTTTGAAGGAAGTCAATCATTAACTTTTAAGCATAGTCTAATGAAACTAGAAACTGAGGAGTATTTCTTCGCAGGGAAGTGTTTAGCTTGGAGTATTCTTCATGGTGGACCAGGCTTATCAGCACTTAACCCTTCTATGTACAACTATATTGTAGGTGATAACATCTCAACACCTTCAGTGGAAGATGTGACTGACTTGGATGCACGGTCAAATATTGACAAGGTACCCTCTTAATCAATAACCAATAAAGCATGGCTGGCTTTACAAATTTTAAGATTCAGAAAATGAATAATTGTAATAGTCAGGTCAGTGTTCTCTTAACCAGTGTTGCTGTTCCGTTGCCTTTCACAGTGCTACTGTCTGCAATCTATTAGCATTGATCATTACTTTTTATTTCTTGATATCTTGTCTCATATTGGCCACAATAACCTTTAAAATGAGATATTCTAGTAGTCCAGAATAACCATGACCTTCATGATGAATTTTGCTTGATTTTTGCAAATATTTGCTATTATTAGCTTTAACTGTTTAATAGATTTCCTTCAAACTTTCACACAACAAACTTTTGGGAAATGATATCCTTTGGGATTTACTTTTAACATGTAAGACAGACCAGACCTTTCACTCATTAATGACCTTGAAGGTCAAATCTAAATTCTTACTTGCTGTAGCATGCTTTTACTTATTTATGAATTAATTGACTTCATATTTAGACACAACATCCTTATATTAGGACAAGACCTTGTATCAAACTAATGTTGCTACTTACTTATGATCGAATTCGGCCATAATCGTCAACTTATTGAATTTTCTTTGATATTTGCTATACAGTGAAATTTGTTTTTATTAACTTGTTTGGATCACCAACAGTTTCAAATCTTAGTTTTTTTAATACTTTAAATTTTCATATTAAGTCTTAAAAATGAAATATTTAATTCTTAAAAAATGCAAATTTTAGTATTTTACTTTTTTAAATACCAGTACTTTAAGAATATAAAAATTCAATTTTTGTCATATTTTTCTCCATTTTAATATTTCATGAAACTTTTTATTTATGCCTGCTTTATGAGATGAGGGATATATCATTTGATTGGTAGGTTGATGGGTCAGTTAGTTGATCTATACATTGTCCATTTACCATATATAACTCGGCATGGCCTGGGTCTAAGAACTTTAAACGTTGTATAGGTATTGATCATGACTGGTACAGGACCTCTTTGTTTTTTTGGGTCACAAGGTGAAAATGTCAGTGTCAAAATGACCCTGTATGACAAAACAGTTTCTGATCAATAACTTGTCAGTTTATTTGTCTTTGACCTTCAAACTTCTAAGGTTTTTTGGTCATAGCCAGGAGATGACCCCTATCAATTTTGGCATCAAAGGGTTCAAAGGTCAAGGTCACATTGACTGTAGATAAAATGGTTTCAAATCAATAACTTAACAACCCATCGGCAATTGGCCCTCAAACTCTACTGATGCTGTCTTTGACCTTTTTTTAACATTCAAGTAACATCAGGTTAAACCCAGGTTAAAGATCTTTTAAAGTATACTTTGTAGATACCTTTCCATCTCAAACTGTTATCACTAAACACCCTCCTCTTAAAGTCATTGATTCGCACAGAGTGAGAAATCTCCTACTCCTAACTTGAAAAATAAACTTTTAATTTGTGTATTTTGCCTGTGGAAGGACCAGAAAATATAACAGTACTGAAATTTAAGTTTATGCCTTAATCTTTTCCTTGTGTTTTTTTTCTCCCACAATAGTTATGCAGAGCACAATATATATCAGACCTGGAAGAGATTAGTGATTGGATGATTGAACAGGGCCTTCCACCGATCACTTTACTGACAGATGAAAACAAGCAGCAGATGAAAGAGCTTGCTTTGAAAAACCAAGTCATATATAGGTATATTTAAAAAAAAAACACACTTTATTTCAGCAAATCATTTGTGAGCTTATGTGATATCTGAAACAGAGACCAAAGAGGCTCCTTCACATGTATTGCGGGTGAATAATATTAGAAAAATATAGAAAATATTCGTACTAAATTATAGTTAAACTGTGAACTCAATATTGAAAAATATTGTAGAATTAATCTGTCCAAAACTATGTACATGTAGACTGCTTCTGCTTCTTGTCTATACTGGCATACACACACTAATAATTAAGAGTATAAAAATAGTCTCATCTGTACTAACTGATCATATTGTCCTTCATTTTAATGAAAATACCTACACATGTTGGGGGGGGGGGGGGTGCTAAACTGAAAGCACTTTGCCATGTCAGTCGCTTGGTCTATCTGTCACCATCTTGTCCACTCTATTATTCCCATTCCCCCTTGAAGGATTTTCTTTTATCTTTGCTCTAATGTTCATGTCAACAAGGCAATGGAAACTATTTCACCACTTTTCCAGCCAAAAGTCAAGGTAACATTGGAGGTCAAAGGGCAAAATTCAGAAAATTTTGTATCTGCTCTGTAAATCTAACACCCTAAGAAGGATTTTCTCCAAATTTGTCTGAAATGTTAACTTCTACAAGATAATATGCAAAGCTCATGTCACCACTCTGCTGACTCAAAGTCATGGTTTAAATTTGAGGTTAAAGGTTAACTGTCAGACAACCTTATGACTCTTCTATAAATTCTTTACAAGCTAAATAATCTTCAAACTTGACTCGAGTGTTCACTTTATCGAGACAATTCAGTTTCTCCTCTGTAAATGTTGTTCCCTTGTGTGTTTTCTGGTAAAAATGGACAAGTAAGTCAAAACATATTTTGCCGACCCTGGAATAACCCTCATAGATTAATTCTGTATCTAAATTTGTGCACATGGACCAAATTTCATGACAGAAAAAAAAATTCAATGAATAGCCCTTATTTTTGAAAATATTTTTAAGGAAATACCTTGACCCTTCAGTTGAGGAACTGACAGATTTGTTATTATGTCTCCCAAAACTTGTGGGAGACATATTGTTTTTGCCTTCTCCGTCCCTCCGGTTGTCCGCTCTAACGGGACAATAATAATGTGGCTAGAGGGACAAAAGGTAACTGTTCTTTCTCTTTGATGTCATTCATTATGTCTCCCAAAATTTTTGGGAGACATATTGTTTTTGCCTTCGTTGTCTGTCCGTCAATCCGTCTAGTTGTCCGTCCTTCCGCATTAAGCTTGTCCGCCCTTCACAGGTCAAACTCCTGGTTGGATTTTAACCCGCACGTTCTGCCTCGCTGCACAAAATGGCCATCAGAGCTAAAAATAGAAAAGTCTTGTCCGGCCTTCATAGGTCAAACTACTGGTGGGATTTCAACCAAACTTTACAGGAGTGACCATACATAGTTATTAGAGACATGTGTTTTTGTGACAAAAACCCTTCTAGTTTAATCTGAGGGGTAAAACACACAAAACTGAATGAATCAGAAGGTATTACTCTGATGAACAATCAAATTGCAATACTTGTAACTCTTTTAAACACTTTTTGAGCTAGACAGAGGCATGACACAGCATTGATGGACAGACAAGAACAAATTTACAGATGGGGGCATAACAGACTAGAACTGCCACAAAAGTGACAATACCTCACTTGATCTCTATGACATAGGGTATTTGGTAGATAACATTTTACTCTGACTTAATTATTGATTTGTTGACCTCCCTTTGTAAATTACAATAGTCATTCATTTGTGTAAACTCTTGTTCTCTTCTTCAGAGTAAGTGCAGAAGCTCAACAGTTTAAAGATGGTCTTAGTTCAATCCATGGATTTTACGAAGTGTTAAAAGCCTTCAAAAAAGAAATGAAACCTGTTATGTGTGATACAAAAACTCCACTAAATGTCAACTTACTCAAATCAATTTATGAAGTCAACTTTAGTGAGGAGGGTTCAAATTTGAGAAAACAGGAAGATGATACTATGTACGCATTTGAATGCTTTCTTCAGGACTGTGAAGGTATGCAAAATAAATTTAAATAAATACTTTAAATTCTGATGTTTAACGCACTTAATAATGAAAGTATCGGAGGTGAGTTACTTTTTTATCCGCCTGTTTAAAAATTGTAGAATTAGATATTAATTGTCAGATTATAGGAACGCCCCTGGCGGGCAGCATCCACTTTTGTCTGAAACATATCTTTCTGTTTGTAACACAAATGGTCATTTTCACGACAACATCTGTGACATTTGTAATAAAGGTCAATATTTGCAAGTTCAAAGTTACTAAAGATGATGAAATATCCAGATATTGTCCATAGCATATCTCATATCACAGGATTTTAATGAAACTTAATAGAAATATTAACCACTATAAGAAGCTGTGTCGCGCACATGAATCAGGTTTCTAGGTCAGAGGTCAAGGTCACTGTTACAGGTCATTGAAAAAGGCTTGTCCAGAACAAACCTCTACATGCATTGAGGGATTTCAAATTAACTTGGCACAGATGTTCACCATTGTAAAGCAGAGTGTCAGTCGCAAAATTCAGGTCATTGCGGCTAAGGTCAAGGTCACACATAGGGTTCAAAGTTCAAATACAAAAAAAAAGTGTATTGGGACCATTTAATCATCATTTTTTGTGGGATTATAACACAAGTGGTCATTATCATCACTACCGCCATGGCACTTGTATTTTAGGTCAATTTATGCAAGGTCAAAGTCATTAAAGATGATGAAATATCTGCATTTGGTCTCGAGCATTGCGCCTACATGCATGGAATTTTGATACTTTATAGAGATGTTCACCACCATTAAATGTATTGCTTTATACAAGATCCAGTTCAAAAGTCAAGGTCACACTTAGAGCTAATTGCTATGCATATCTATAAAAAATTGCCCACATGTCCATCAAAAGCTTTTGTGACGTGCATATTTTGCGACTCCCTAATATTACCTAGTAACCGTCAATTAGGCAATAGGGGTCATATGTATTGTCACAAGAATCGGTAATGAACATCTATTTCTAAAGATATTGGGTATTCATGTTTTAATCAAAAATGTTTAACACTTGGTCATAATATATCATATGATAACCAAGAAGTCCAGTGTAAATGAAGGAAACTCTGGGTCGGAACCTGGGTAATAGGGGTTTAGGACAATAATGAGTTGTTATATGAAAGATACCATTATTAATTGTGATCCAAATAATCAAATCCTTTTCTAATAAATTTATTAATTATGGAAGGCTATTGTGTTCAAATTTTAATCAGTTTTTCAATTGCCAGAGTTGAATAGGGTCATAACTCATTCAAAAGTCATGGATTGTCATGTTCATAGCTCCAAACATCTTCATCTTAGAGAAAGTTTACATATGTTTAACTTTTTATGTTAGGGCCTACTATTAAATTGAATGGCAGTGACAGATTTTACTGAACCTTTTTCGTGTAAATTGAGATTCCTAGCTGTTTCATGACAAAAAAATTAGTAAAATTATTGAAATAAAATGTTAATTGGAATAATGTATAGTCAAATCAGTTTATTACATATGTTTTCACAAGTTTAAATTCTTGTTTGACTTCATTACTAGAAGTACATTGCCTGAACTGGTACTGAAATACACTCAACATTCATTTTGCAAATACTGGATTCTAAATGACTCGCATACAGTTTTGCTAGAACTGGTATGGGAAACATAGTACTGGAGTTGGTACAGCATTATGTTGGCAAGCACTTGACCTGGTAATATGTATGATACCCCCTTTACTGATGAATGTTTGTTTATTGCTTTGCAGTCTTCTTTTCTTACTTCAGTATATGTTTATTTCAAATTGTTACAGATAATGTGACCTGTGTCCAGATAAGTGACCTGCTGTCATTTTGGACAGGAGCAGTAGAAATACCACTACTTGGTTTTGAAACAAAGCTGCAGATTGGGTTTGTTTCAGACAACAGCCAACAAAACCTTCTGCCAGTTGCTCACACCTGTGGGATGATTCTAGATCTACCAAGAGGAATTTTGTGTCCAGAAAACTTTAAAACAAGAATGATTAAGGCACTTCAGTGGGGTGGAGAGTTTCATTTACCTTGAGGACATATCTAGGGTTACATATTGACATATGATAGATTTAAAACTACACAACAGATTTTTATATTTCTTAAAAGGAATGCATTATTTAGAAGCGAACTTGTCTTTCCTTTCTGTCTGTCAAACACTCAAAATAATTTCTGGAAAATAACTTGAAAGGTTGTTAATATATATTGGAAGAGACCATTAAGATACAGTGTTCAAAAAAATATATGTTTATCCTGCTTGATTATTTATTGAGATAAAAATGCTTGTCCTGAGTTGACTTCCTTACAGTCAATGATATTTCTTTGAAACTTACTTTTAGAGAAAAGTGATGGGATGTGCAGTGTAAGAGAACCATAACTTTACCTCAAGAAAAGTAAAAGATAGTGTAATGGCAAAGAACCATAGCTTTAAATTGCTTATTTGCTTGGACATTCATAACGACCTTGATTTTTGTTATTTATAAATGGATTGATCTATTTGAATATGATCTTGAAGGTCAAATTTTTGAAATCCTCTATTTTTTTCGGTAAATGGATATAACTTAATTTGTTATTTATGAATTGATTTACTTTATATTTAGATGACATTCATATTATTGAATGTTCACTGATTATAAGCTCACCTGAGCTTGCTCAGATTGAGGTTTTAGGATCGATGACTGTCCATCCATCATCCATCCACATTTATTTTGTTAACACTAGCAGTTACATTTTGCTTCAATCTCCATGAAATTATGTTAGAAAATTTCACCTTTTAATATCTCAGACGAGATTGATGCTTGATAATCTCAGCTAAAAAAAACTAGGTCACAGAAGCTTATAATAGGAAACTCTCATTAAAACTGTAGTGGCTACTGTTTCAGTCAAGATATACTTGAAATTGGTCAGGAAGGAAGGTTTGTAGCACAAGTTCCTATATGGGTTAGATATGATCAAAAACTAGGTCTTACAGCCAAAATATGGAAAAAACATTGTTTACACTCTAGTTGCTACTGTTTCAGTTCAAATATCCTGGAAATTGGTCAAAAAGTTTGTTTTGGTTATTTCCATCACTAGTTCAAATACGGTTATCTCATTTCAAAGGCTAGGTCCAAATATGGAAAAACCTTGATAACACTCTAGAACATTTTGTTTCAGTCCAAACACCTTGAATTTGATCAGAAAGTGTAAATTGGTGATTTCTAGCTCCAGCTGGAATATGGGTCATCTGTGTTCAATAACTAAGCCACACAGTACAAATATAAAAAACTTGGTTAACAATATAGAGGCTATGGCTTTACTTCAAATATCCTGGAAAATAGTCAGACAGTCTGGCTCAAGATTGAATATGGTTCATCTAAATTCAAAAACTAGGTCAAACAGTCAAAATATGGAAAAACCTTTTTAAAACTCTACAGGCTACTGTTCCAGTCCAAATATCCCAAAAGTTGGTCAGAAAATTTGTTGTTGTGATTTCTAGCTCAGATTTGAATATGGGCCATTTCAGGTCAAAAGCAAGGTCACTCAGTCAAAATATGTAACACTGTAGAGGCTATTGTTTCTGTCAAAATATATTAGAAATTAACAGAAACTATGTTTTCATGCTTTCAAGATCAAATACTAGGTCACACAGCAAATAATTTGGGAACATTTTGTAAACATGCGAGAGGCTACTGTTTCAGTTCAAGTATTCTAGAAATTGGTCAGAAAGTTTGTTTAGGTGATTTTTATCTGATGTCTGAATATGCGTTTTCTGGGTTCAAAAATTAGGTCACACGGCTCAAATATGGAACAACCTTGTTTAAATTGACATTTTAGGAGCAGAAACAAACATCAACAGTTTAAGATGATGACATTGGAACTGTTTTTCATTCACAGCTAACAATATTGATTGTTCCTAGTCTTAGTAATCGAGAAAGTGATAAAAAGGCCATCATGGCCTCTTGTTTTATAATTAGCTGTAATTTTGTAATTAACATAATTTATGGATTGTCTACATACCTTGGCAAAAGAATCTTAAAGGCTGAACAGACATTGACAATTAACTTTAAATGATATTAACAATTAATGTCTTTATAAATATTCACTGATGTTTGTTATGTCTGACAGTGTTTTTATGCCCCCACAATGTGGGAGCATATAGCGTTGCACTTGTCCGTCCGTCAGTCCGTCTGTACGGCCCGAAATCTTGTGAACGCAACTCCTCTTAAACCGCATGGCAGATTTTGCTTAAACTTACAGGGATGAACAACCTTAATGTGTAGATGGTAGTATAGGAAGGAATTTTCGCTGCGACCAAATTTAACAGAATTATGGCCCTTTGTTGATTTTTTCACTAGATACTATGTAGAAATTTTGTGAACGCAACTCCTCTTAAACCGCATGGCAGATTTTGCTTAAACTTACAGGGATGAACAACCTTAGGGTGAAGATGGTAGTAAAGGAAGGAATTTTCGCTGCGACCAAATTTTACAGAATTATGGCCCTTTGTTGATTTTTTCACTATATACTATGTAGAAATTTTGTGAATGCAACTCTTAAACCGGATGGCAGATTTTGCCTAAACTTCCAAGGATGAACAACCTTTATGTGTAGATGGCAGTAAAGGAAGGAATTTTTGCTGCAACCAAATTTAAGAGAATTATGGCCCTTTGTTGATTTTTTCATTATATACTATGTAGAAATTTTGTGAACGCAACTCCTCTTAAACCGGATGGCAGATTTTGCTTATCCGGCAGATTTTGCTTAAACTTCCAGGGATTAACAACCTTAATTTGTAGATGGTAGTAAAGGTAGGAATTTTTACTGCGACCAAATTTAACAGAATTATGGCCCTTTGTTGATGTTTAGTTTTCAACTTGTGGCACATGTAGTCCAAAAAATATTTGACCTAGAGTTATAAGATTGACAGAACAGTGGCGTGTGGGGGCATCCGTGTCCTATGGACACATTTCTAGTTTACTTTTGTAAGAAATCAATAGATTATTTTTATATTTTTGGACAGGGCAACAACTACAAAGCTGAATTGAATTTGACCTTTGAGGTCAGATTATTATGCTCCCCGAAAAATTTCGGGGGAACATATAGTCGTCGGGTTGTCTGTCAGTCCGTCCATCCGTCAGTCCATCCGTGCATACGTCCTGAATTTGTGTCCGGCCCATAACTTTGTTATTTGAAGTCTGATTTTAAAACTATTTCACAAAAATGATCACCATATTGAGATGACGTGTTGCGCACAACATTTGGGTCATAACCTTGAAGGTCAAGGTCACAGCATGACCTTGCAGCAAAATTTTGTCCGGCCCATAACTTTGCTATTTGAAGTCGGATTTTAAAACTATTTCACGGAAATGATCACCATTTTGAGACGATGTATCTTGCGCAATATTTGGGTCGCTACCTTGATCTTGCTACCTTGAAGGTCAAGGTCACAGCATGACCTCACAGCAAAATTGTGTCCGGCCCATAATTTCTTTATTTGAAGTCGGATTTTACAACTTTTTCATAGAAATGATCACCATATTGAGACAATGTGTCACACGCAACATTTGGGTTGATTTTACACTTTGAACTTTGTCTGTGACATAACTCTGACACTACAAGAGGTATACCTTTGTGTCCAAAACCTATTTGGAGAGCATCACCCGGTTCAACCGGCTCTTGTTTAATTAAGGTTGAGTTTTTGTGAACAAATTATACTACCTCTGAAATAAATACTGAAACAACATAATATTTGACAGTATTTTCATTTTGGTGTATAGTATATCAGGACTTTGGATGAAAAGTGTTTTGGGCAACAGTCTTGGGGTCCACTGTAGCAGTGTTTTTTTGTGATTTTTGTCTTTGTTTTGTTTTTTCTTTTTTGTTTATGTTTATTTTTTTTTTAATTTTGTTCATTTGATAAATGGTTTCAAAAGCTAATTTATTGATCTTAACTAGACTTAATATTATCTCTTTTAGAATAATTTTTTTTGTAAATATATCTTTTTAAATTATTTTTAAATAAGTCAATGACTATTATTTTAAAGTTAAGGTCAAATGAATAGAAGAAAGAGTTAAAAGTATACCATATTTTACTTATATCTAGGTTTGATAAGTACTCTTGCTTTAATTGGTGCCATAATGTTTTTTTTGTTATTATGTTGTTTTCTTAGTATATCATATGTTTATAAGTACCCTACCGGTTTAACCGGAGCAGACTTTAGGTTTAACCTCTGTCCGTCCGTCAGTCTGTCCATCCACAAAATTGAGTCCCGCGATAATGCGAAAAGCACTGAAAATATTGTTTATGGAATTTGATATATGGATAGATAGCAGTCTGAAGATTATGTACATCTTTTTTTGGTGAAAAATTTGGTTGCTATGGCAACAAATAGGCTTCAAATATGGCAAATATAGCAATATTTTTCATTACTCAAAAAGTAAAGAAAACATTTTTATGAAACTAAAGATATATGTTACTGATCATTAACCTTATCATATGTGACAAGGTTTACAACTGTAGCACAATTTTCAGAATTTAGAATTTTCATAAAATTGGAGGTGATTTTTTTTTATAACTTTTTTATTTCATAATGTATCTACTATAAACTTCATATATATGTGTCTTATTATTACTCAAATAATTTGGGAGAATGTTCAATACTCTAGCTTGACTATTTGTAGAATTATGTCCCCCTTGAACTTAGATTTTTTTTTCTAAAAATTATTATATTTTACTCAAACTTCTTCATTTCTTATAGCATTTCCTTCAAACTCCCACATGATAATAATATGACAAGGCTTATAAATCTAGAATCCATATTTCCAGAATTATCTCCTCCTTAATTTTTGAATTTTTCTTACTCATTCTTTAACTTTCTTATTTCTTTATGGATTTACTTCAAATTTAAAAGAAATTCATTGTCAAGACCTACTTCACTACACCTACTTTATATGTGATTAGATCTATAAGACATTGTTTTCCATGATTATTTTCATTTCATCTTGAAATTTACTTGAATTTTTCTTTAAATTTTCTTCTTTGTTACTATAAATGGTATATTTTTTATTATTTTTTTTACTTTCTTTTTTGTATATATATGTATATAAATGGTATGTGCTTTAAACTTTATTTTAAGAGTTATCTCTTTGTTTAAGAATTTTGCTTTTAAAAATGTTATATTCTGGTAACAGCCAGGGATGTTTAAAGATTTATCCTCAGAGTCTCTGTCAGTTGGTCTGTCTGTCCGTTTCTAAAAACTGTTTCCTGGGACTTTTAAAACATTGAAACTTTTCCAACAAATTTACTTAAAATAGAGAAAAGTTGAAACATCAGTTATACATATTCATTCTGAGTAATTGGATCTTTTGATCATCTGTTGTATTAACATAATAAGGGAAACATTAAAATATTACTTAGATACAGACAAACTAAGCACTCATGTCATTCATTCATTCATTTAATTACATAATTCAATGACCAGTGGCCCTTCAGAATGTTGCTGGGGTTCTAACTGGTAGGGGACTTATGGATTGCTTGCAATACTATGATAATTGCTTGTTGATTCTGGAATAAAAATTTTAATTTCAAGATCTTCATTGTTTGACTTTCTTTTCATGAATTTATTGTGCATGCAAGTTTTATGCCAGTCTTGAGCTTTCTAGCTAGTTTGGATTGGGCAATGCCTACAGTAAGTATGGGGTTCAAAGAATGAACCAAAGTGGAATATAAAACACATCCTATTTACAATATTATTAGGTTATCACAGTGAAGGAGGAAAGAGTAAACACATAATTACTTTAATTATAGATTATGGGTAGTACATTCCTTTAACATAACATTCCTTAGCAAAATACCTTCATGTATATTAAACTCAAAATGAATGAAATTAACTCAAAATGAGATAATATTTAAGTTAGAAGGAAACGTAGTAATTTTCTTTTAATTCAATTGTTTTTGTAACAGTTATCAATTGTTATTTTTGTGAACAAGTGGACATTTTCTTGTAGTAGGTATGAGTTTATTAAAATTGACGCATGAAATGACACTATTTGAAGGACGATAAATGCCTTATTGGGGGTTTAAGATCAAAAGATTCCTACTCTGGTAGACTCTAGCTAGCACACGGTGATAGGGCGTTTACCACAACTTTTCTGCGCAACGTCAAAATATCATACTTCTGACCGAGACACCGTTTATTTCTGGACAAAATGAGCCGTGACACAACAAAACCAACATAGTGCGTTTGCGACCAGCATGGATCCAGACCAGCCTGCGCATCCGCGCAGTCTGATCAGGATCCATGCTGTTCGCTATCAGTTTCTCTACTTGTAATAGCGTTTGTAAGCGAACAGCATGGATCCTGATCAGACTGCGCGGATGCGCAGGCTGGTCTGGATCCATGCTGGTCGCAAATGCACTATGTTGGTTTTGTTGTTAGAAATCGCAATAAATCGGCATCAACACCTGTTTTATGCGAATTAAGTAACAACTCAGGCCTACGGCCTTTCAGTTCAATTCATCAATCTACATTTTAAAAATCCAAACCTGTGCTCAAAAGCCGATAAACAGTAAGATATAAGTTGTTACTAAATTAAATATTTAAAAATAACATGATCTGATACTAACACTCTTTCAAAACATTTTATCTCTTTGAAAATAATTTAATTTTCCTTAATTAGAGGATATGAAAATTTTCTTATTAGATCTAAATTTATTTTGACTACAGTATCGGTATCCTTATCAGTTAAGATCTGGCTTTCATGTTTTGTTATGAATGTAAATAAGCCCACTACCTTGATTGAGTTGCGCAGGCACTGCCTTTTCTTATAACCTCTTGGTGACTCTTTACAAGATTTCAAGAGCCGTTTTGATTTTCTTTTAGACAATATCCATAAGAGGACTTTTACTTTTATTCTTTTGTGGCGTTATAGTCATAATTCATGTATTAAAGGAATGCTTTTTGAAAATGAAGGCAATAGTTTTGTCGTTCATTGCAAAAATAGTACAAAGTGCTATTAAGGGTAAGCATTTCCTTATTTCATGGAAAAGTACATTGTGAGAGGATATGCTCAAATACTGACTTTCAACTGACATACGTTTTTTCTAAATAATCCTGACAAAATGGCTCAAATGTTTTATCTAATGATGGTGGATGCAAACATTTTTATTTCATGCACACATGAACAAATCGATACAGGTTATTTAATTCCGCATTTAAAGCATTTTTCAACACAACTAAGAAATTTAAATGATCTGGAAGCATTTAGAATATTGTCAATCACTGAAAATTGACTCAATTATAGTCCGATCAAGTGCAAATTAATAATAAAATAAACGAAAAAAATTGAATTATAGTGAAAAGTAAGGATACCAGCTCTATAATTTTGCCATAAACCGTCTTATAAGTACATTCTGGAACTAGTTATAGGCATTTTAATTGTTAGAAAACAGACAGTCCGTCAAGAACCTCGGTCCGCAGAAACTGGTATAACACAACAGCTTCCTCTCCGCATGTTGGCATCTCTTTTCTACTGTCGTTCATTAAAAATGTACACAGTTCAAACACTGTTTCCTCACATACCATAGGTCCTTTGAAAATGCATTCTTCTGAACAGGCATCTATCTGGTTGTCTGTGACATTACACAAATAATCTTGAACTCCAAACCGTTCTGGACATGTATACATTACCACTGGTCTGCCATTCGGAGAGGTTTGGTTTTTAGAAGGTCTTATTCTGTGACTGTTCCACAAAGAAGCTATTTCATTTAGTTCTTCCTGTATATAAAAAATAACATTTTTGTAAAACATGGTATATATATATTACACTTAACTTGGCTTTGGAACTTAAATCAATTCTAAAACATGACAAATTCGATTTCATATTTGAGCCGCGTCATGATAAAACCAACATAATGGGTTTGCGACCAGCATGGATCCAGACCAGCCTGCGCATCCGCGCAGTCTGATCAGGATCCATACTGTTCGCTTACAAACTCTATAACAAGTATAGAAACCGATAGCAAATAGCATGTATCCTGATCAGCCTGCGCAGGCTGGTCTGGATCCATGCTGGTCGCAAACCCATTATGTTGGTTTTGTCGTGACACGGATCATTTATGTTTTTCTTTATTTATTGCGCTTTTTAATTAAATGACCAAGCGAAAGTCCCCTCACTTTTTCGGCTATACAACAACTCTTTCAAAAAATATTGGTCACCAGGCATTAATCTTCGATCTGCATGAAAATCCAACACAAAGACTTCACAAAAAAGTAAAGAAATAGAAATTAAGAGAGACTATTTTTTAGAGTCATTTTTCATGAGCATCATGCAGCTCTAGGTAACTTAACGATATTTCAGGAGGCGTAAACGATATTTCTATCACCTCCAGATTCATGGTAATTTTCATGAAAAATTTGAAAATGTATCTGAATGTTAAATATTGTAAGGTAACCAAAAGGAAGCAATTTACACATTTTCAATGCCACTTACAACCACCGTAAATTACTAAAAAAGTGGTCGAAATATGCATAAATAGCCCTTTCAGCGTTAGTACCGCAGTAGAAAAAATAGTTGTGTATACTGAAAAATCAGTCATTAATTGCACAGAACATGTAAAATATTACTTGAATCTTTTTACATATACTAAAATTTTTGTTAATTTTTATCAAGTTTGATTTTATTGAAATATTTTGTCTCATCTGGAGACATGCAGCTTTTATCTCAAATAAATTGTCGAGGTTCATTTCGTTATAAAAATGATTAACCCATACCTGTATTAAGTTCATGAAACAAAACTGTAGGATAGCTTTGTCAACAAAATTTCCAGTGTAGCACCCTATACTGGCTAACATACCAAACATATCCATCCAGTATTGAGCGTTATGCCTCCTGAGGAAGCCCCACCAATGCTCTATACGCTGATTGTGGGTGCTTGACCCTTCAAGGTAACACGTTTCAGTGTTATGCTCGTTTCCTAAGCTTCTCAGAAACATTATCATCTGTCTAACATAGCAGTTTTCTGTGCCCATATCAGCTCTGATACGCGCTGGACAACCTTTTATATTTCGCACGGCATTTATGAAGTATCCCGCGACAACCTTTGGATCATTATTCGTTCTATGAGCCTCAAGCCATATTATATATCTTGAGAAACCGTCCACGGCTCCGTGGATACAAATCCCAAAGGGCTTCAACTTGTCATATCCATCTATGTGCCAAAGGTAATTAGGCCCAAGATTAGAATATATTCTCCGCTGAAGACGGTTTCGACGCCGTTGTTGTACACCAATAGGATCTATAATTAACAGAAGTTCACGAATGGTTTGCTGGGTGACAACATATCCATTCTGTAAGCATTTAAGATGCATCATTTTGTATCCATGTAACATGCCAGACTGTTGCATTTCATTCATCACAAATAAAGCAACTTCAATAATATCACTAAAGTGCACACGTCGATACAGATTTAAACGCTTTAAAGTCCTTTTTAATGTACGCAAACTTACATTTTGACCATCTGATTTTAGTTTATCCAAGATTTCTGAATAATTCAAGCCAAGCAAGAAATAATCATGTATTCTTTTATCCATAACTGTATCACATACTATACAGCAGATGGCGTTTTATAAAATAAGGGGCACTACTCGGTGCGATGACCAATGTTGTCATCCTATCTGCTATGTAGGAGTTATAAAGTCCTACGTAGGAGTTTAAAACTCCTAATTAGGCTTTTTAATCTCCTACGTAGGACTTAAAAAGTCCTACGTAGGAGTTACAAAGTCCTACGTAGGAGTTTAAAAGTCCTACGTAGGACTTAAAAAGTCCTACGTAGGAGTTATAAAGTCCTACGTAGGAGTTAAAAAGTCCTACGTAGGACTTAAAAAGTCCTACGTAGGAGTTTTAAACTCCTAATTAGGCTTTTTTATCTCCTACGTAGGAGTTACAAAGTCCTACGTAGGAGTTAAAAAGTCCTACGTAGGAGTTAAAAAGTCCTACGTAGGAGTTTTAAACTCCTAATTAGGCTTTTTTATCTCCTACGTAGGAGTTACAAAGTCCTACGTAGGAGTTATAAAGTCCTACGTAGGACTTATAAAGTCCTACGTAGGAGTTATAAAGTCCTACGTAGGAGTTATAAAGTCCTACGTAGGACTTATAAAGTCCTACGTAGGAGTTATAAAGTCCTACGTAGGAGTTATAAACTCCTAATTAGGCTTTTTTATCTCCTACGTAGGAGTTTATTTTTTTATAGAACATTATGAATTGGCACCAGGACGCTTCCGTACCATTGAAATAGAGTGTTATCGCATAAAAAGTCAGGGATTATTATTTATGGAATATGGAAATCAAAATGTCGGCAAAGAAAAGTGTCGTGTGCTGGTTTTTGTTATCGGTTGGAATCACTATTGTAACAAGTACAAAAGTGAAAGTAGCGGTCTATGAACATGTTGTCATATCACCTGACGACCCTGAAGCTTTTTTCACGAGACAGGAAGCTTTCCAGTGGATGTCAAAAAATTTAAATGTCTTTGATGAGCAAGCCCGAAAAGCGTCTGAACAGGTATTTATGTTTTCATTATTCAATTAATTGTAAAACCTTAGAAAGATTTGTGAGAAGAATAACTCGAGGATACCATAACGCACCAGTGCGTCATTTGTTTTCCGATTAACGACACTTCACCATGTGCCTAGTCTACAGGGCGGGCCTTAACCATTGATTTGAAAATGCCATATTTAAAATTCTTGCTGTTCCTTTAATCATGATACCCCCAAAACCAACCTCCAACATTTTAACTAGAGCTGAATTCTTCATTCGAAATTTGAAATTTTGCCGTTTTCGTTTTCAATTTAAACGTGATATTGTGTTACTTTACAATTCACAAATCTTAAAAAAATACGAAAAAAGTATGAAAGCATATTTCTAAAATACTGTAAACTTCGAATGTTGAAATAACATTTTACAATTACACATTTCTCTACACATTAACTCAGAAGTTTTTAATGGAATACCTGGGGTGTTTAATGTTTACCTTTAGAACGGGCAGCCGTCCAAAAACTCTCAGATAAGACGATAAATTAATTGGTAAGTGGATGGATATGCAATTATTTCATTACGGCGAAGGGGATTAATCAACCGTTTAACGTATTATCAAGTCTTCTTTTTTCGCACTTAAATATTTGATAATTCTCAAAAGCTTGTTAACTCATATCTGTTATAGATGAAATAACTCGCTGTCGATATCAATTTATTAGAGTTTTCACCTTTGTCCGGTGCTACAACAGACTGATAAAATATGTACATTACAATTATAATCATTCCATTTATCTGACGATAATAGAAATTATATCCATTTATAAACTAAGTAATGTAAAAACGAAAAAGGCTAATTAATTTATATGATTTTTTAAAATATCTTATTTTTATATTTCTATGTTCCACTGCCTTCTGTTTTTAGACCTGGCAATCAATTTTTATCTAGTTCTACATTTTACGTATAAGTCGTTTCCACTTAACATAATGACTTTCAAATATTAAGACGTTGCTTTCATATTTCAAATGTTTTCGATACTTCATTGCAGGGGGCAAAGATTATTGTTTTCCCGGAGTATTGTATAACAGGGTTTGATCATTCACGTAATTCGATTGTTCCTTTCTTAGAAGACATTCCGGATTCTAGTACAGACTGGAATCCGTGCATGGAGCCAGATCGTTTCGCTGATACACTTGTATTAAGAAATCTAAGTTGTATAGCTCAAATGTACACAATCTATTTTAGTAGCAAACATGGGTGGACATTAAAATGTGTGACAAAAATGACTGATAAAACATGTCCGCACGACGGCCGATATCAGTTCAATACAAAATGTGATTTTTGATAATAATGAAAACGTGGTTGCTAGATACCACAAACTTCACATGTACGACGAGACACCGCTTTTTTGATCCCGCTCCCACTGCTGAACACGTGTATTTTTGATACACCCTTTGGAAGGTTTGGAACAATTATCTGTTTTGACATTATGCAAAATGAACCAACACAAGTGTTGTTGAATAGGTACGCGTATTAAAAATTTACTAGTAACATCTGCAATGAACGTTTTTCTTGCCATTTATATTACCGCAACAAATGTATTCAGGACTGGCTAAGAAGAATGGAATAAACGTCATTGCATCAAACATCAGAAACTCTTTATATCAAATGGCAGGATCGGGTATAATCGGAAATGATATCCAAAGTTTATCTGATATTAACACTAATGGCACGGAAGGTATTTTACTAGTGTCTGAGATAGAACCTGAAGTTACAAAAACATATGCTCCAAACACAAAAGTGTCAATAAACAGTTCTGGTAAAATTAAGCAATTCATTAACAAAACATATGAAGGTACTTATCATTTCGGTTTAAATATGTCTTACGCTATCATGGCAGGTCAATCTGGAATTATAACGGCGTGTAAAACTGACGTATGCTGTGTTGTGACGTATCAATTCAAATCACGCGACGAAAACGAGACAATCATTCTTAGCGTTGTAGATGAACTGATGTATGAGCCTGGGATAATACACATGCAGTATTGTGCCGTGTTTTAAATGTAAACCACATACTATTCATTCGTGTGATTTACGACGACATTTTCGTAATAAACTCTATTTTTGCTGACATTAAAATACAAGGATATTTTGACAAGGGTGTAACTTTTCCGCTTGTGACTACTATTGACAATAACAAATTAACTATGGATATGGACAAGTACACTTTCGACGATAAAAATGCAATACTGCATTGCAATCAGTTTGAAAATCCTCTTTTAGCCGCAGTTGTATTTAACACACTTCACTTAGACGTCATGAAAACAAGTGCATCTAGTAATGTTGCAAGTGAGACTACATTATCGTTGTCCACTGTACTATTGATATATATCTATAAAGCATCTTAGATCCAATTTTACTTTTGACAGTCATTTGCACGTTTTCGAATTATATTTTTTTTCGTCATTCTAATAACGAATTGCCTCATAACGTTCAGAATGCAAGAAACTGTGATTTGTTTTACGACTCAAAACATTGTATGTGCGTGTGTTCTTAACAATTCTGAAGCACCTGGTAAATTATTCTTATTTAAGTTTATTGAAACATACCTAGTGCGAGAATGACTCTGTATTTATCTATTGCATATATGTACTGTACATTTTCAGAGTTGATAAAACATTCATTGCACCATATGTAACATATTCTATACGTAATGACTTTAGTGCTAACAGTTGCTTAATTTACCTCCTCCTCCGTTACTACGGTGTCCATGAATCTTAGCTTGCACTTTCGATGTATTTTTTACAAATGTTTATATATCTTTGTGTTATATCAGTATACAAGTTCAAGTAACATTTTCCTATACCTACAGTTTATTTGGAAACTATAGAAGAAAAACGAGCAACAATTCATACCAGTTTAAAATCTTCATTGCACTCCTTAAAATTTTAATTAGTGTTCTAAGCAAAAATTCGACTTGAAAATATTTATTTGTTACTTGAACTTCTCCGCATTCTGGCTCGTCTTCCGATCACGTCTTTGACAATAATAATAATAAAATTAGTTTAAGAGTTTGGATTTAAACAAAATATAATTTGTAACATTAATTTGTCTTGTAGAAATCAATACTTTACAAATTATATATATCCCTTATGCTCGTCTTACTTTAATTAAGATTTAGTCGGTTTGGTAAAAGCAAGTTTAACAGTTGTATTTTACAAGCTACCGTCCATGTCGTTAGATCTTCTCCAATAACAATGAATTTAAAACAATGTGTTCAAAAACGTTAATCAACAACAATCTGCAAGATTATTACATTTACAAAGATTTGGATGACAATTTGTGAATAACCATGAAAATAATATAAGGCTAAAGTTCCTATTGAATAGAAATATTCTTAGATAATCTTGTAAAATAAATTTGATTCATAATGATAATTTTACACACGTACATTGATATAAAGTCTGGAGAAGATCAGCTCAAACGTTTTGAAAAGGTCTTATACGAAAACCTTTCAGATTAATTGAACAAATATCTAACAATTATCATAAATGAATCGCTAAAAATGTATGCGAAAGTATGGTATGTTATTATTTACGTTCAGTTTCTTTAAGTATCATGAAAATAATTAAATATATTTTATTTCGCTTGTTGAAATAAATCGTTTCAAGGTAAAATATGACACGTACATAATATAATGCTTACAAGGTTAAACGCAAAACAATTGTATATATCTTGAGATGAGAGTAACATGTATATGTGGCAGTGTTTTCTATTCAACTATTCACAATACTTTAAATTAAAGATTAGCTAAAAGGCGTTTCTGAGGTACAAATGGGTACATTAGGTCTTCCTAGCTATTTGTAAAAAAGATAGACAGTCACCATGTGACATTTTAAGTGTCTATTTGACATAGGTTCATGTCATAAGGAACAAAGGCTCATTTACTTAATGATTACTAATAAGTATTAAATTAATAAATTCCTTCTTTTTGTAAGGCTTATCTTTTTACTTAAAGACTATACATGGCGTTTTCTGAAGCGGCACAATTTGACTTGGTGTAGTCGTTAGCTGGCAAATCCGGTACCTTCCGAGAACAGACCCATTCAAATCGATCGATATTGCGTTATTTAAAATGTTGCTGTATTGTACGACTTAAGTGTTTCTTTTATCGACTTGTTCAATCGAATCGAGTCTGCAATTTTCACCCTAAGTATTTGTTTTCATTTGTTGTTTCCAAGGATATTCCTTTTAAATATTCTTTTGATCAAGAATTCGCATTTTAAAGTTTTAGTAAAATACACATCTTTACAAAACCTTATTTATTGTGAGTTTAAATGAGTTTGTTTCTCTTTTTAGGCTAGATATTTATGATAAAGCATGTTAGTTTGTGAATATGTATACATGGCACGACTGTTCTAACAACTGAACGGGGCTATCTTTATTTTAGGTTTTTATTGCAAATTTATTTGCAATGTCCTTCAGACTTATAAATTATTACACAACATAGTAATAATAGTTCTTAAAACATATTAATGCGTAGCTTTGGATTAAGAACACGTGATTATTCATTATTAATATTTTGTATGAAGATGTAATGATACTTAATTTGCACCATTTGTAAAGCCTGATCTATATATACCGTTAGTGGTACCATTATATTTTTGTTCTTTTGTACCATTACATAATAAATATTTGAATGATCATTGTACATATGCACACTTGCATTGACATTACTTTCTGTATAACATGAAAAATACTCTGAACTCGTAAGAAAATTGCTAAAATACATTTTGTTAATAACATGCGCCAAAAAGAAAACTTGACACTCGGTATTTTGGGACAAGATTTTCAATTTTGAAGACAATGACTTTAGGTAAAGGCAGTGCACAGAATATATGGACATCATCTGCAGTAAAACAGACACATGTCTCACCGTTTTTCTTTTACGTTAATTAACGTATATTAAGTCGGACTACCCTCGAAAATAAAGTATACAAAACGATTAACAGTGGGAAACGGGTGTCCAGAAACGATTTTGACCATATCTACAACTCATACACCGACACAACGAATCCACATGGATGTTAGAAAACATATGGAAACTGCTCGAGAAAGACGTCGCATTTGCTTAAATGCAGAGGACTCCTTAACCAAATACGTCGACCAAGCTCCTCTCAGATGGGTTTCGGGGCTACGAGACGGCCGGTCAAAACTTGAACACCGGTATTCCTCTGCTTCCTTCTGTTTCAAAACTGCCGTATGGGTCTAGCGTTGTCTTGAATAAATGAAAGCAGGGCAGGTTGCAAAATATGACTGGACAGCAGTTATGCTCCCTTGAACAACACCACAAAGGATAATTTGTGTGCACAAAAACTGCGATACCACCGTCAGCTTCGCAGACGTAGACCGCAGTACAAAGTGAAGCTCAAGATAAATCAGATTCAAATGTTTTTGATTGGACCTTAAGTGTCACTTAGCCCATACAGGTAGGTTGAGGCGATGGAGAGTTGTTAAAATTGGTTCATTATGAGTTTCAGGGAGCGATTTCTGACAGTTTTTGTTGTTACCTTATCACCAAAAACCTCTCTTGGCAACTGCCACGGTTTGCTACAATCGAGTCCGTATGTTAGAAATTAATTGTCACGAGCAATTAAATATTCTTGCGACATGATAAGAGTGACCAGTATGTAGATTCCATATATTGTTGACGTTCGTCATTTGCAAGACTTTTCTTTTAATTTATCAAAATGACAGTTTAATTTGATTTTTTAATTTCATAGGCAAACATGCACACGAATTTAGTGAAAGCACGTTTATTCCCTGTTTCCATCTTTCAGGACTACATGGTCTCAGAATACACACGACAGTAAATTAACAAAAGCCTTACAGAGTAACAACGTTTTCGATTTTAGGAATACAGTTGAATGTATTTGATAGGACACTAAAAGAAAACATACAAAATGTACCTGCGTGAAGTTTTCATTTTGGCCCAATATGGATACAAAATAAAAAAGAATAGTCATTACCACTGCGGATGATTAAAATAACAAGAAGAAAGAACTCTTGACTCTTTTTATTATTCATCTTTGTACATGTATATATCATTGACACCTTTTTCATATATATTGTCTTTCAAGATATAATATTAAATTTAAACATTTGTACAAGTGGTTTAATACACATAATACATACACAATATACAGTTTCATAAAGGGAATGTTTATTAAGATAAGTCATCAAAAATAAACATGTTTATATGTCAATGTAACATTTCTCATGAAAATAGAGTTATATTATAAAGTTTGAAGGATTATATAAAATACGAGGTTACAAGCTAAGGAATAGAATTTATAATTCTAACACTCCTCGTGATTTTGTCGCTAAAGACACTGGTTAGGGACTGCTTGTATATGCGGCTGTTATGTTTTCTCCCTCGATTATATAATTTGCAAAGCCTTTTTAAGCGACAATGATAAAGCATTTAATTGATATTTTCAGTTCTTATAATATTTTCTTTTCATATAATACGGAAATAATACCTCACATACACTAACGCCACAGATTTGAACCAAATCAGTTAATAAAATATTTTGACAAAACGGCACCAGTCTGTAATGACGTCATCCTAAGTATACAACTCATTCATAAACGCTGACGTCATTTCAAACAAATAAGAATGATAAATGGGGCACTGATGTAAACACAGTACAATTCAGTCTAAGATATAAGTTTTATTGTTGAAAACTTGATAAAAAAACATTTTTTTTTCTTTTTATTTCTTTTGTTTAATAAATTCTAATTCTTAGCAACAGTAGGTTGCAAAATCGAACAGCGTTATACGAAAATCGGCACTGGACGTTATTTCCGCTTGAAAAAATAACATGAGTGATCAATTCGTGGGCTATTACTACGCATCAAAACTCCAAACCAATGTTAAATAACCGATAAACACCGCTAAGACCGCTATTTTTTCTTAAATATAGATGGATATAACTCATTAGGTATTGTTTATTACTGTCAAAGTGGTTTATCTGATGGCGAAAATAAATAGAAATATCTGTCTACATTATCATGATTTCAAACTGTTCTGCTAGTAATCCAGTTTTATAATAAGAGCAACTGCAAGACTTAAACACACGAAAATCGAAATTATAGAAAGGATTGATAAAATCTTTAGCCAACCATGATTGTTATCTGGACAAGGTTTGTACAATGCCTTTAGAATATCTAAAATGTTTCTTTTGATGGTCAGATTAAATATTATACCAGCTGTACCAAAAATACTTGCTATGGCATCATCTTTGTCGTCACCCAAAAAACGAAAGACATGATGTCTGTTTTCTTTGTCTAGGCACTCGTATGAAAATAGTACCAGTAGGAGTAGATCTGCTACTTGAAAACATGAGGTTATCACACTGAATGATAACGAGAGAGTGTCGAATGTATTTCTTGTTTTTCCTCCTTTCCTTATAGATATGTATCCAAACAAATATTCCAAACAGCCTGACAGCATTTTGCATATAACAGACACCATGAAAATCCAGTGATATTCATTCAATGCAAAGTCACAGGCATTGTTTCCAGTATCTTCTATCTCAATGTCATTTTGACGCAGTCCCTCAAAATTTATCCAGTCAAAGATGACCCCAACGATGAAACACGCTATTCCAGCAAACCAGAGAACCTTTGAGCAGCTACACTTCATTGTTTTATTGTTGACTTCAACTGATATTAAGAAATATAAACAAAATGATGAACAAAATGTATTATTTATGATCACATCATGCAATATATCGAATTTAATTAAAGTGACATGATGCTCATTCTTTCCATTGTCATGTTAGTATATATATATATATTATTGAAAGGGATTATGACAACATGTAAACTTATTTTGACTTTCACCCGTGCATAAACTATAAACACTTGGATGGACATAATGTCACTTTAACGTTTTTGTTTCTCATTCATAAAGTATTTTGCTGCATTGAATTTTTAGTTTTACCAATGATACCTAAACTTACCAAACAGAGTTAAAATATACAGGTAAAATATTATCAAGATGATATAAAATTCCTGTAGGAATCTCTTAATTCAAGTGTTTTAAAACAAAAAGAAAAAAATATTTTCAAAATGTTGTGCAATCAATTCATTGATTACAGCTTATACTTATGTGTTCAATTTGAATCTACTGATCAATATTTACGTAATTTGATCATTATATATTGAGAGATTATAATAAATATAAATTGACTGAGATTTCAAATGACTAAATATAGATTTCATGAAAAAAAATCTATTCGTTAAATATAGAAATACCACGTTCATAAACATTTTGTACTAAGTTGACTCATTACAATGGTTTGCGTTTGAACAAATATATTTTTGCAACTTATCAATAAAGTAAATAAAAATCGTTGCAAATTGAACTACAATATTGGAAGGTTCATGGCAATATAATATATTGTTTAAGTACCTGTATCTTAATAATTAATCGTATTATATTTATTTCTCATAACGTCTTGTTCATATTTCCAATAAAAATGTTGAGCATTAAAATACAAAATGCATTGTACATGTACATATATTAAAACTTCCGAAATCGTTAGAAAAAATGATACAAAAGATTCGCACCAATATAACCAATGTTAGACAGTTGCTGTACATAAATATATTTGATTTACATGTGTGATAAAATAAGATACAAGTACTTTGTTCTTTCACAATTTTACAATGCACTGAATGTGGTATTTAAACAAAATAATCATATCGAAAAGCTGTCTGAAATGACATGCAATGTAACGTTTATTTTATAATCCATTAATAAAAAATAGATATAGTATTCATAATGAATGGAAAAATCTTTTTATAAATTAAAAAAGAAAATACTTACTTTGATATATTCTGTAGTTAACTGAGCGGTTATTGTCGTAGGTTTATTTCATTTATTCTTTCTCCTCCACGGAATGACTCTATTTGGCGAGGGTGGCAAACTGTCTAGTATAAAAACCTTTCGATTGGAAAATCCGTTGGAAAAACCGTCGGTTTTCGAAAAATGATTTAAACGTCAAAGAAAAAACATTTACTTGGTAAACCTATGATACCAGTGAGATATGTTTCAGTTATAGTTTTTATTAAACCAATGCATATAATATGCAACTGGTTATAACAACAAACAAATAGAAAAATAGCAGTCAAAATCACTTATATCACAATAATATTTTATACGTCAAAGATAAAACATTTATTGGTAAACCTACGATATTACGCAACATAACTGGATCAGGTAGATATGCATTTTAAATAATGCATTTTAATATCGATTAAATCCAGTTTATACCAGACTATTTATAGGAATTTAGTCAATACATGTATTTAGAAAACCAAAGTTATTTATAGGTGAAATTTCCCATTTTGTGAGTAATAATTTAAAAATAAAACAAAATATAATGAAAACTTATGTTCCTACGCACAAACTAAATAAATAATAATTAAATGGAATCAAGGATTTAAATATATGATAAATGAAAAACAAAATAAAGGTAACAATGTTGTGGTCTACGTCAAACATTTTTCATTCATGTTTGAAATGATCGTTTTTTTCCAATTATCAAGGACATGTTTTTTTACTTCAGTAAAGTGTAGCTGCGTGAAGCTTAAAGAAATATCATACTCAAATTGAACATTTTAAAATATTGATCAAATTTTTTACAAATTCTCTCATGTGGTAAATACACTAACAGTTCATGTGTGAGACTTGACGTAATATAGATGAACGGAGTATGAATACATTGTATTATTAAGAAGAACCTTATAAATTTATAAAAACGTCTATCATTGTGAAAGGAAACTCATCAATAGCCAGCATTTGTCACAAATCAAAGAATGTAATATCAGAATAATGGCATAATAAGAAAAAAGAACTTGATTTGCTCTTTATACAGAAGTTATTGTAACTAAGGGTGGCTCTGAAAGGTGAAATAATTGTTGATAATCTCCGGGATTGTATCACAAGAAGATGTTCGCGCAAATTATAAAAGTTTTTAGTACAGCGACAGACAAGGGAAAGCGATATTTACGGAATGATATCGCGAACTTTGTATATGTCACAGGGTGAAAAAATGTGTAGCCTGAACGGGACTCGAACCCGGGACCCTCGGAATACTGTACTGAGATTTAACCGACTAAGCTATACGGCCGCTTACAAACTGTTTTCCTGAAATAGTGTACAGTTCTGAAACATTACATATATGAAACAAAAAAGTGTGGCTATTTTTCTTCCGAAAATGTTATTTCAAAATATCAAATACAAAGTCAAAAACATGTGACATGTAATTTATTTCTTTTTGTGGGAATGAACGTAGATCTGCTTATTTCATACACATAAAATGTCAGTGATATCTGTGATGATCATTTCTGATTCAATTAAATTTCTTATCGTAAGATATATTAAAAGGTGTATCCCCTGGAAATGTAGAATTCTAATTAAGCTTTGTCAACTTGGCTCGACATACCAAGTAATTACCATTGAAGTTCATTGATGGTCTTGGAAAATAAACAAATTTAGTCTAAAATTTCAACAATTGCACAAAACCAGTTTTTATAACTGTTGTGAGTGAATAATGTATATAACAATTGTGTAAAAAATATATATATGTATAGATAAGAAATCAACACTTGTAAAATAATTTATAGTTCTATTCTTGTCCATATACTGGTATACTCGTCAAATACACGCGAACAGATTTCAATACAGCTCTGAGTACCCGTCATAAAAAGTATTTCATTTTCCAGAAAAGTCCATGTCATAACATGGTATGACAAGATCATGTGGCTTACATGACTCTGTTTGTCTTCACTTACACATTATCTTTTGTAATTGGCCTCTTAAATATTTCCATTAACTTTTCAAACTTTGTTTTGGGTTAGCCCTCAAAATATATTTTATTTAAGCATCTTTAATAACAAAATATACTCTTCTGTTTTTTTATCCGTTACAATCAACATTCACATCAACACACCAGGATTAAAAATTATGATCCGTTAATTACTTATGCCCAAATAACAGTTGGACTGGTATAAACCATGTGACTAAGTGACCATGTGACCATATAAACCCAGTTAGCCAAAACGCGCTGGCTGTTATTTTCATAAATTGTAAAATGTTTGTTTAACAAGCATAGTGGAACAACATGACAAAAGTGGAGTACTGTTAAATGATTTCAATTATCGGGCAGAAAATTTCGTATTGAGAAAAATCTCAGAAAACAACACGGTGTTATCAAAAAAAATATGAAACTATAACCATGTTTTATCAAAATGGTATACAATTTGCATCCTTTACTGACATAAGTGGGATATTTGCTTGCTTTGCAAAGCAATTTATTATTTCACTGTAGGAAATGTAATCCAGTAGAGTAATTCTCAAAGGGTAAAAACATACAAAACTGTGGTAAAGTATATTTCAGGTACAATATGTTATTGACATTTTGTATTAAACATTTAGCATCGGTAAAAATATAATATTATGTGAGTTTTATCATATCCAGATGATACAATAAAACATTAAAAATATTTTTTTGTTTGTTTTAGATTCTACAAATATGTCCAATATTGATACTTAGCTTTTATTACTGAATATTGTCTTTTTTTTATCCTGTAACATCATGTAAATTTAAGGAACTATACCCTGTGTAGAACAAATTTAAAGTAATACTTAAAGATTTTTCAATTTCAACTTTTCAGATTTCAATGTAAACAAACATATTCAATACACAAATAAACACTTAATATGTTAATTTCAATCAGTCTTTTATGCTAAACTTAATTTTAACAACATTCTACAATGTAACAATATAAATTACTACCAAGTATGAGAACATACGTCAATAGATAAAGGCTGTATAAGCAAAAGTGTAATATCTATTTTCAACACAGTCACCTTGGCACAAATTGACCAGTTACTCTACTCAAAGAAAGAACATCCAAGGTATATTGTCATCACACATGAAAATCATCCTTCAATAAAAAAGGCCATGTAAGCAAATGTAAAAGGTTTTTTTGAGCTCCAGGATCCTTGACCTTGAACAAGGTACCTTAAACTTCACTAACATTGAAAAAATCACATACGGTATTAACTCGCCAAATATGAAAGACGTCAGATAATGAATTTAAATTGTATGAGCATAAGTGTAAAAATCTATTTGTTAGAACTAGTGTCCTTAATCTTAGTGCCCTACACTCCTGTAGAAAAAAACCGGATAAGGTACAACGTATATTGCTACAAACTACGAAAACGTTCAGTCAATAAATAAAGGCTATATTAGAAAAAAAAACATATATAGTTGTAGCTCTTGTTACGTTGACCTTGATCCAGGTTTATTCGACGCAAAGTTGGAGGACTAATCAAATTATCTGCCTACCAATTACGAAATATATCAGTCATTTAATTAACCTGTAGGAAAAACTCGACTAAACTATGGAACTACGAAAAGGACGAAGAGGCGACCATAAAAATCTGTTATAATGAAATCAATCACTGAATTAAAATAGAGCAAAGAGAAAAAGAAAAATGCTAATGATATTATAAGCGAACTGTCCTTTGTAAATTCGCAACGTGAAAAGAAAGATGGTCTGCAGTATCTGGCTAAATTTGTGAGTTTTTGCCAAACGTTTCTGATGAAATAAAACATTAAGATTTAATCAATCACTGAACTAAACATATTTCACCATTCGGCTAACGGCTGATTCTTCACTTTCCAATATCACCTCAATCCAAAACAAGGTAAACGCCTTCATCTTTTGAAAAAGCGACAGAGAGATTTAGGAAATATATCAGGGACACAACGGTTATAAAAACCCTACAAATGTGACAGATACATATCAGCCAGCGACAGATACATATCTATCAGCGTACAAATGTTAAAAAATGTAAGGAAAACACTTATTATACATCAAACACATATGATTTGATATCAGTGAAACGATTA